TCTGATAATATGGGTACAATAGCTGAATTGGCCGATGCTATAGACCGATCCCTAGATAATACAACAATATGTAGAACCATTTTAACAAATCAAATTAAAAGATCAACAAGAGCAATTCGGCGTAAATATACTAACCTGCAACAAGATCTGGTGAACGAACGATGGAATCGTGATATATACAGGCAGGAGCGAGACCAGGCATTGCTTGAACTTCATCAGTTACGGACTAATGCTCAGAATCAAGTAAACAGAATGATAAATAATATAACAATAAAGCAAACCCGTATCAGTGCATTACTATGTGAAAATTTTGCTTTCCAGTTATTGTATCAGCGAAATGCCCACCACCTACAACGATGCAGAGCTGATAAAGCTTTGCTAGAATATAATCGAGATAGGTTATATGAACGATATGAGAAGTGGAAAAATAAGACTCATGCAGAGCGCCAAAATATTTTAATTTTAAATCAACAAATTTTTGCGCTACAGAATAATCCACCTAATATACAACGAATAGGAATGGCAGGAATACCGCAACCATTTTTTGACTGGGGTGAAGATATACCAGATTTCCTTGCAAAACTTAGATTATACTTGCAAAACCAAGGAGTAAATCCAGCAGATAATGCGGGAGGTCCACCAACAGGAAGAGAAGTAGCTATAGGATATTTAAGAGGATGTATGAAAGGAAGAGCTTTAGAATGGTTTGACGAAGAGATTACTACAAAACAGAATTGGGAATTAGCAAACTTACTTGATAATACAGGGCAGGCCAACTTAGTAGCTGTAAACGGGAGAACAGCAGTTCAAATAGGAAATCAAGCATTGAATGAGGCACTCGGTCAACCTGGTAATGCAATAGTCAAATTAAGAGCTGTAGAGGGTCCTTGGGATGAAGATTGGCGCATAGCAGGTGGTCGTCCTACTAACATTGCTGTTAATGTACCAAATGCTAATAATGGTACTACAGTAGTTGTAGCTGGCATTCGTTTTGGTCAAGCCATATGGTGGCTAAAAACACATTTTCCTACAGTGGAAAAGGAGCTTCGGGATTTGCAATATAGAACAATTAGAAAAGGAAATATGACTATAGATGAATTATATAGAAAATTGTTACGAATAGGTAGACGAGCTAACTATAGGCCCGAAGAATTACGTAATAAGTTCTTAGATGCCCTTCCTATTCCATGGCTTGAAAAAGCTGAGGATATCGGTGAACATTTGCCATTAGATGAATTAGCTAAAAAGCTTTATGAGATAGAGTTACGACGAATTGCTAGATATAAAAGAGATAGAATACCTGATCCGCTAGTATTTCAACGAGCATCTCGAGAAATATATGACCCTTCACCTATTTCAACTTCTTGACAGATGGCAGATATACAAAAATCATATCAAGATGCATTAGCATAGCAAAAAACTGAATTTCAGTCTTTATTAGAAAAGCAGAAAGCCGATTTTCAAGCACAAATGGCCTAGCAAACAGTTGCCTAAAAAGCACAGGCATCAGCTCCACAAACTGTCAAACCGGTTAGACAGCCAAGAGGTCCTCCATTATCATTGCAATTGGAAGAAGGAAGATCTTTGGAATTATTATATATCTAAATTCTTAAATAAATTAGGTTTAATAAATAAGAATGAATTAGATTCAGATTATCCTATAAAACCTTTTTAAAGAACTCGCTCTTAGCAACAAAACCAATCTGCGAGAATAGATAGAATAGAATCGAAAGTAGATGAAATCAGTCAAATGACATCTCAATTCGGGAGGATGATGCTCAATAATCAATCCAAAAAACCTGTAGCTAAATCAAATTTTACATATTACTATCCCCAACTTCCATCTACACAGTCTCAATATACACCTCCAGCTTCAGATAATGAGGAAGATAATAATGGTGGTTATGATGAAGAAAATTATAAATGGACCGGGTATTATCTACCAGAAAAAAAAACAGATACTAGCAGAATATAGCTAGCCCGAAACGTATAATGAGCTGTTACCAAAACTTTTACCGGCAATGCGTAAAATGTGCTTGTCCCGAAAAGCTCAGGAAAAGGAATCAGATGAGTGGTTTTCTTCTCTACAATATCTGAATATAAATATAAATGATTTAGCGATTTCTGAATCTTTTTTAGATCCGGGAAGTGAATTTGGTGGTATAAATGACCTGGCAATTAAGACGCTTGGATAGAAGGCTGATAAGCCATCTGATTTTGCTATAAAGGGCAATTCTAGGCATATCACCGATTCATTAGGATGGTACACAGATGTGCCAGTTACTATGAAGGACAAAGAGAGTGAGACAGTTACAGTCATTGGAAATTTTGTACGTATAGATAATGGTGAACCTGAACCAATGCTATTTTTAGGTATGTCAAATATTCAAAAGCTCCAAGGTGTTTCCGAGCCAAATAAAAACCAGTTCCGTATAAAGTTACATGGGAAGACCTATGTTATTCCAATATATAGCAAGGCCCCAGTAGCTAAGGATCTACCAAAAGATGAGCAAGATTCATTATCTTAAACATCTACCAACTCCTCTAGCCCGACTAGTAAAGAGGACTTAAAAAAAAAGTGCGTAAACTGTAAAAAGCTTGAAGAGCATCTTACAAAAGCTGAAGAATGGCTTGGTAAGGCGTTAAATGCAATAAAAATACTTGCTAAAAAGCAATGAAAGACTAAATAGAATTACCAAGATTATCCATTTCTTTTAATACTTTTTCAAGTTCAGATCCCATTCTAGATATATTATCATTAGAAGGGACATGGTTAATAGTATTATCTGTTTCAGTGGAGGCTACACTCATTTTACCTGTCTTCTTTTTTCAGATATTTTTCTTCAGTGGTAAGTCAGGTGAAAAGGAAGTAATTTCTCTTTCTATTTTAGCAGATGGCATAACAGCATAAGAGGCAGGTTTACTTAAGTGAATGATCTTAAATCCGACATTAGAAATATCAGCTATTGGTTGATTCCAAGCAATCCTATTAGCTTCTTCGCCTCTCCAAATCTGATATATGCGTTTCATTGATGTATTATACTTGTGCATTAATTCCTCTAAAACTTTTTTTCTTGGCTTTTCATTTTCACGTTGTATAATAAAATCGTAATCAGCTGGTGAAAATAAAGGAGCATTACAATTTATATGTTGTTTAACCATAATCACAATGGTGTATTTTTTTTTTTAAATAAAATATTTCAAAAAATAATAAATAAGATAAATAGAAAAAATATATTCTTTGAGATAAATAAGATAAGTGTAATCTTTTTGATATTTAAAAAAAATGTATTATTTCAAAAATAATTTAATAAAATAAATAGGATAAATACATTAATTCGAAAAAGATTTATTGGGATAATTAGAATAAATGTATTATTTTAGAAATATAAAAAGAGTATATTATTTCAAAAAATATTTTTTATTTTTTATTTATATTTGTGGGATAAAAAAACTATACCTCAAATCTATACCTTGAATGATATAGGCAATAGTGATAGTAGAAAACTTGAAAGCCCTCCATCTAATCAATATCCACCTAGTCGTTTAGAGCTTGAAGAACAGCTAAAAAAAGAGCGTGAAATATTTATAAGATTAGCCAAATAGCTTATAACTAAATATCATACCTTAGATAAAGAAAATAAGTGTATTCAAAATAATCTAGATCACTCCCATGAAGAAAATAAGCGTATACAAAATAATCTAGATCACTTATATAAAGAAAATGATCGTATGCAAATTTCTATAAATCAAATTATCCCACTAACCAAGCAACTAAATGGTATGAATAATAAGCTTATTTGCGAATGAAAGTCTCATGCTAATCTTAACACCAAACAGTTAAAAGAAATAAAATCGCTAAAGTCTGAGATTAATTTAAAGGATTCTGAAATTGTCTCTCTTGAGGCTAGAATAAATGAATTAGAGGCTAAGTTAAAACAAACAGCACAAAAAGCTTTATTAAAGGATAACGATATTACCCAGTTACTTCACAATTTCTCTTTTGAGATTAAAGTGAAAGAATTGAAAAACGAACTAGAGAAAGTTATGCGTAATTCATCATTTAAAGATAGATTAATTTTCTGCCTCAGGTCCAGGGTAAGTGATCTGGAAGATGAATTAGAACAGATTCCTCTAAAATCATATCTATCAACTAATAATTCAAAAACAGGTGGCAATGCTATAGAAGAAGTATTCAGTTTCTCTAAGACCCCCCTCTTTGTCTTCACACCACTCAGGGCTTGAGCCTGATAAAAGTAAAGTAAAAGATGTGGTAGAGCCCCTGATAGACCATGCCTGCAATAAGCAGAAAGAGAAACTTGATAATATTCAAGCCTTACCTATTGTTACATTAGGGGTCGGCAATGCTTTACTTAATGATCAGTATATAATTTTGCTTGTTATTTTAGCCTTAGTAGTAATATTAATTATATGGTATATATATAGGCGAATTTGTCGCTCAATCAAAAAGAAAGAAATTTTTTATCCAATTTATAGAAAACAAAGTTATAGATATCTAATCTGTTATGCATAAGAATTCAAAGACAGAAATACCTCCTATGAAACTTCATCTTTTGGATATGAATGAAGTCACAAAGCATGAAATATTGGTCATCCGGCGATGACATGGCCTTTCAGTATGCTAGTCAGTGGGAGGAGTGGTACAGGTAAGACTAATTTACTTGCGAATCTTGTTCTTGGTGATAAAGATGAATATGTGCAAAGAGGGAAAAAGGGTAGGTCTCGCTATATTAAATGTGACGATCTAATTATTTGCGGGTATCATCCCGATGAGCCAAAATGGGCATATGTAAGATATATATATAATCTAATTTCAAAAGACCCAAGAGCACCTTACTATGAGGATATTAGTTTCAGTTATATTCCTTCTGAAAAAATTCCTAGTACAAGAATTTTCTCACCTGAAAGAAGCAAGTTAATTATTATTGAGGATCTATGCTTAGCTCCAGAGCATATACAAAATCGAATTGGTCAGTTTTTTGGGAATGGATGTCACCGAAATATTTCATGTATATATGTAATGCAAAAATATCATAAAGTCGATACATTTATTTGTGAAAACTCAACTCATTTAATATTATTTAACTCTAGTAGCAGTATTCAAGATGTATTTAAGATTGTTGGATGATATACTGATGATGTAAAGGGTGCATCCATGGTTATTAATAGCTACCTCTGCAAAGGTGAGTTTGTTGTATTTGATCTCACTAGGTTAGAGGATGATCCTCTAGCAATTCGGCTAAGATTTGACACACCGTTGAACCTGCAGAAAGAAATAGAGACAAGGCAGAAGCAGAAGGAAAAAAATGTCTCAGCTAATTCATAAAACTTTTTACTGCGCTCTCACAAGCTCAGAGATACAGAAATTGATTACCTTTGACACATCTATAACTTATAGTAGTTTGCATGCGATGTGTACTCCGAAAAGGTATCCAAGTAAATAGACTCAATTAAATATATTTATTCGTTATATACTGTAGTTGTTCACCGTTTTCCTAATGCTATTCTTGAGATCACAATTAGGAAATAAAATTTATACATTAATATTTACTTGCAATATATGCAAGAAAGTGTTGCTGTGAAATAAAAATCTATGAAGTGTATATTTACATTTTTTTTTTATTTTCGGCTACAAATTTAAATTGCGATATTCCTTAATATAGGTTGATAAAGAATCGCTAAAAATGATATAAATTGCTAAAAAATGCTATAATCACTAGAGTCGGCTATAAACTATAAAGAGTAAAAAATGGTTAAAACCAACCATAACTACTATTCTAGTTTAATCCCAAAGTAGTGCAGGCGTTAAACAATCTGCAATATAGTTATAGTGATGAAACACCAGAAATGTGGTGTTCTCATATTTGTTGTCCATTTAAAAAACTTCTCAAGGAAAATTTAATGCTGGGAGATGCTCATTTCACATTTATTGCACTGTATGCGACTCCTTAGTTTTTATTTGCGAAAATACAATTGAATGTGCAAATGATCATCTAAAGAACTGTATTACTGAAACCACTAATATCATTCTAATCCTGTATGAAAGAATGTGAAAAAAGAGGAGAAAATATCAATGCTTAGCTCTGATGAGATTGAGGAGATTTACAGAAAATATTATTTTATATATAGTAAAGGTTTGAGCTATTATG